ACCAACACGGTCATTAGAATCCATGAGGACCCCCCTCCTGCCCACTCCGGGCCCTTCCTGCCACACCAGCTCCACACGGGCCATGCTGGGAAGCCCAGTGTCCGGGCAGGGAGTGCAGGACTTTAAAGACTGCATTCCAGACATGGGGACACTGTGGTGATTTCCCGTAGCTGCCGTAACAAAGGACCGCAAACTGGGCAGCCCACCCCTGCAGAAATGCGTTTGCTCACAGCCTGGAATCCGCGTAGGGGCAGGGCCTCCCTCCCTCGAAGGCTCAGGGACGCCTCCTTCCTTGTCTCTTCCCGGTGGTCACGGGGCGTTCCTTGGCTCGTGGCCACCTCCCTCCAGCGTCCACCTCTGCCATCGCGCGGACTTCCCTGCATCTTCCCCTGTCTGTGTCTTGTGAGGACACTTGTCGTTGGATTTAGGGCCCCCTGGAGAATCCAGGATGACCTTATTTCGAGATCCTTACCATAATTACATCTGCAAAGACCCTGTTTCCAAATAAGGTGCCTCCGACACTTTCCGGGTGGATGTACCTTTGCGGGGCGGGGGGCACATTTCAACTCCCTCCAGATGTCTTCGGAGCGGATTCTGACGGTCTGACTCGCTGTGCGTATTCACCCCAAACAGGGAAGTGAATAACCTCTCCCTGTCAGGTTTGGGGGATCGAATGAGACTCCTCTCAAGGCTGGGGCCAGAGGAAGCAGGAAGTGGTAGTTTCTTCTGCCTGTTCCTTACGAACCTCAGACACAGGAGAGAGGAATCCAAGCCGCGAGTCAGGCTGGGGGCCCTGGCTTCGCCCGTTGTGTCCTTTGTCCCGTGAGGCTCATACACAGGGTCTGCACGTGTCACCGACACACCGGGAGGTCTGGAGAGCAGACAGAGGTCAGCTTCCTCTTCCACGGCCAACTCTCAGTGCTCGGCTTGCCGCGGTCGCTCAGTGCGTATCGGCCCGGCCCTTCTGGAGACTGGCTGCCATCGTGGGAATTAGAGGGACCCACAGGAGCAGCAAGGGCACCCCCCGAGGATCCCGGAGCTCCGCTTCCACCCCCTGACTCCTAGATCTCCCCACCCTGTGTCCCCGGGGACGCCCTCCCAGAGCCCTGTTGGCTGAGACGGTTTGTCGTCCCAGGGCACTTGCTGGATTTGCTGAGGACTCGAGGGAAGAATGGAGCCATTGCCTTCCTGGAGAGCCTCAAGTTCCACAACCCTGACGTGTACACCCTGGTCACCGGGCTGCAGCCCAAAGGGGACTTCAGCAACTTCAGTGGTGAGAGCTGGCTCTCGGGGTGGCTTGGCGAGGGCTTCTTCGGAGCCTCTGGGTCCTGGTGCCTGCAGCCTCATGCAGACACTCTTCTTGCCCACCCCCCCCCCACCCCCACCCCCCCGGCCAGGGAGAGGTTCCTTCCTGTCCCGCTGCCCCAGCACAGGGGGCAAGGAGGCCCCCACTAACCACGGTGCAGGAGAAGGTGCTGGCGGCCTCTGGTCCTAAAAGAGATCTGTCCCCGATTACCACGTGCCACAAGCAGACCCGTCATGGGGCACAGAGTCTGCATTTGAGAGGTGCCGGCAGGGGGAGGCATGTCCTTCCCCTAGAGATGCTCCTGAGCCGGCCTTAGCCTTGGCGGTGGGTGGAGGACGGCTGCGGCTGCAAGGGGCCCGAGGAAGAGAGGCCCCCGCCGCAGAGGAGCGGGAGGGGAGCCGGCAGCCTTCTGCACATTTGCTCAGCCGGTGGAGGAAGGTCTAGCCGGCCTGGTGGGAGATCCGGCCGTTTTTGTTAGTTAAGTGGTTTGAGGGTTCCCTGGAGAAGCCGGGGAAAGATTTTGTTGCACAAACGGCGGGACTAACGTCACTCAAAACCGGGTAAGAAAACGTTTCTGCCTGTTTGGCGTCACAGCCCGCGTTTCTGTTAGAGCGCCGCTGGATGCCGTGCGGATTCATGGTCCTTGCTCTGTTTTTCTCAGGGTGACATTGAAAGGGAGTTAGCATCGAGCACACCTTAGCTGATGACGGAGAGTCGGCTCTGAGCCGCAGGGGCCCACGGGGAAGCGAGAGGAGGGAAAGCTGGTACCGAAGTCACCAGTCGTGCTGTTTATTTAACCAGATATTGAGTCCGGCCGAGCCGCTAGTTTGTTGGGTTTTGTTTTGTGTTTTATTTTTTTAATTTACATCCAAAGTAGTTAGCATACAGTGCAACGATGGTTTCCGGAGTAGATTCCTTCGTGCCCCTTCCCCATTCAGCCCCTCCCCCCTCCCGCCACCCCTCCAGTCACCCTCAGTTTGTTCTCCATATTTTTTTAAATATAATTTAACGTTATTTTTTATTTTTTTAAATTTACCTCCAAATTAGTGAGCCTATAGTGCAATGATTTCCGGAGTAGATTCCTTAAGCCCCTTACCCGTTTAGCCCATCCCCCCTCCCACACCCGCTCCAGTAACCCTCTGTTTGTTCTCCATATTTAAGAGTCTCTTGTGTTTTGTTCCCCTCCCTGTTTTTATATTCTTTTTGCTTCCCTTCCCTTATGTTCATCTGTTCTGTGTCTTAAAGTCCTCATATGAGTTAAGTCATATGATGTTTGACTTTCTCTGACTAATTTCGCTTAGCATAATACCTTCCAGTTCCATCCACATAGCTGCAAATGGCAAGATTTCATTCTTTTTGATTGCCGAGTAATACTCCGCTGTATAGATATACCACATCTTCTTTATCCATTCATCATCCATCGACGGACATTTGGGCTCTTTCCATACTTTGGCTATTGTCGATAGGGCTGCTATAAACATGGGGGTGCCTGTGTCCCTTCGAAACAGCACACCTGTATCCCGTGGATAAATGCCTAGTAGTGCAATTGCTGGGTCGTAGGGTAGTTCTATTTTTAGTTTTTGGAGGAACCTCCCTACTGTTTTCCAGAGTGGCCGCACCAGCTTGCATTCCCAGAGCAGCTACTTTTTTTTTTTTTCCAACGTTTATTTATTTTGGGACAGAGAGAGACAGAGCATGAACGGGGGAGGGGCAGAGAGAGAGGGAGACACAGAATCGGAAACAGGCTCCAGGCTCTGAGCTATCAGCCCAGAGCCCGACACAGGGCTCGAACTCACGGACCGCGAGATCGTGACCTGGCTGAAGTCGGATGCTTAACCGACTGCGCCACCCAGGCGCCCCTAGAGCAGCTACTTTTTAAGGAGACCGACAGATCAGGGTGGGGGCTCCGGCCCGAGAGTCTGGGCGTAGGAAGCAAAGACCCCCGGGGGGCAAGGACAGGGGGTCGAGGTCGCCCACCGGCCCGTTCTCCGCAGGGCTCATGGACACGTCCAAGCTGACCGAGTGCCTGGCCGGGGCCATCAGCAGCCTGCAGGAGGAGCTGGGCCGGGAGAAGGGGCACAAGGAGGCCCTGTGGCGGCGCTGTCGGCAGCTGCAGGAGCGCCTGGGCTGGGCGGAGGCCCGCGTGCGGAGCCTGGGCCAGCTGGAGACCGACCATGACCGCGTGAAGCGCGAGGTCCTGAAGCTGAAGGACGAGATGCTCAGCCTGTCGTTGCACCACAGCAACGCGCTGCAGGAGAAGGAGCTGGCGGTCACCCGGTGCCGTGGCCTGCAGGAGGAGGTACCCGGTGCACCCCCCCGCCCCCACCCCCGCACCCCTGCCGGGGCCGCCGAAGGGGTGGACGCTGCTGGGAGCCACCTTCCTCCAGCGACGTCAGTAACCTGGGGCCCCGGGGACCTTCCGTCCACCCCTCCCGGGTCCCCCAGTGGGGCCTGCGTCTGTGCGGGGAGCAGGGGGTCGTCGACGAGGCCCCCAGACCTGACAACACCTTTGCTCACTTCTCGGCTGTGGGCTGTCATCTTTTTTTTTTTTTTTAGTTTAATTTTTATTTTTAATCTTGTTAATGTTCGTTTTTGAGCGAGAGACAGAGAGACAGAGCATGAGTGGGGGAGGGGCAGAGAGCCGGGTAGACGCAGAATCCAAAGCGGGCTCCAGGCTCCGGGCTGTGTCAGCCCAGAGCCCGACGCGGGGCTCAAAGTCACAAACTGCGAGATCACGACCTGAGCTGAAGTCAGAGGCTGAACCGACTGAGCCACCCAGGTGCCCCTCGGGTTTTTATTTTTTAACATATATATATATTTTTTTTAATTTTTAAAAAATGTTTAGGGGTGCCTGGGTGGCTGTGTCGGTTAAGTGTCTGACTTCAGTTCAGGTCATGATCTCACGGTCTGTGGGTTCGAGCCCCGCGTCAGGCTCTGTGCTGACGGCTCAGAGCCTGGAGCCTGCTTCGGATTCTGTGTCTCCCTTTCTCTCTGACCCTCCCCCATTCATGCTCTGTCTCTCTCTCTCTCTGTCTCAAAAATAAATAAACATTTTTTTAAATGTTTATTTATTTTTGAGACACAGTGTGCAGAAGCAGGGGAGGGGCAGAGAGAGGGGGACAGAGGATCAGAAGTGGGTTCCATGCTGACAGCAGAGAGCCCCATGTGGGACTCAGTCTCATGGACCGTGAGATCATGCCCTGAGCCAAAGTCGGACGCTTAACCACTGAGCCACCCGGGGGGGCCTGGGCTGCTGTTCTTCTGATTGACTTGTAGGAGCTCTTTCAACACTGAGGAGACTCATTCCCTGTCACTTTGGCACCTGTTCCTTGCCCTGGGGCTTCTGTGTGTTTGGCCTTGATGTTTAAGTTTTAACTTTATTGAGAAAATTAATTTCAAATTTGTAAACAAATACACAAATACGAACATCGTCACCCCTTGAACAACATGACACACACACGCACACACAAACACACACACACGCTCTTTTTTTTCCTGAACCACTTGAGTTACGTATATCATGGCCCCGTACCCCTAAACATTTTAATGTGTGTTTCCTAGAAATAGGATATTCTCTGATGTAATCGTAGCTCAGTTATCAACCTCGTGCACGTTCATCAACACTATCTGTTTATCTAACGCGACGTCTGTGTTCCACTTCTATCCCCACCCAAATAGCATCTGTCATGGCATTTTCTTCCGGTCCAGGAGGAGAGCCTGTGGTCATCCTGTCTCTGTCGTCTCCTTTAATCTGGAACATTTCTGCAGCTTTTGTCTATTATAGTGTGGATATTTTTTAAGAACACAGCCCCCCCCCCCTTTTTTTTAAGTTTATTTATTTTGAGAGACAGAGAGACAGAGAGAGAGAGAGAGACAGAGAGAGAGAGAGCGAGCAGGGGACGTGCAGAGTGAGGGAGAGAGGATCCCAAGCAAGCTCTGAGCTGTCAGCACAGAGCCCGATGTGGGGCCTGAACCCAAGAACTGTGAGATCGTGACCTGAGCTCAAGGCAGAGACTCAACCCACTGAGCCCCCCCAGGCGCCTCATGGCCCCTCTTTTCTGTAATAGACTATTCCTCATTTCGGGTTTGTCTCCTGTGTCCTGGTGACTGGATGGGGGTTATGCCTTTTTGGTGGGACCTGCACAGGGACGCTGGGCCCGGGTCCAGTCACCCCACCGTGGCACCAGGCCCAGTGCCCCTCGGTGCTGATGTTAATATTGCCCACCTGGCCCAGGGGCTGTCCGCTCCCTCCCCTGTACCTGCTGTTCCTTTTTCTTCCAGCAGCGGAGAAGCAGCCTGGGTGTGGGGGGCTCTGGAACCAGCAAGCACCCTGCCCTTAATCGACATTTCCCCCTGGAGAGCCTCACTGGGGGTTCTTGCCCAAACTCCTCTCTAGTCTGGTGGTTGCAGGATGATGAGCCCATCTCCAGCTGGTCAACCAGCTGGCCCTCGACATCCTGACCGCGAGGAGGAGCCTTATTCCCCAGTGTGTGCGTCTGTTGTTGGCACAGACACGTGCATTCTTACATCCAGTTGCCTGTAACACGTCGCTGTCCTGAATGAGTTTGCCCAAAGTGTCCCAGATTTGGCCAGCGGGAGCCCCTTTAATCTTCCGTGTCCTGTGACACGCCCCCTCATATTCCGAGCACGGACTCCCTCTCTGGAGGCACAAGAGGTTCCGGGGTCATCTGGTCCCCACCCGGCCCCAGCTCTGGGCTCAGCCACTCCCCGAAGGGCCTGGTTCTGGGCAGAGACCAAGATCAGGGCTCTAGGTGAGCTCATAGCTCCTTGGTCCTTCCAGCAGACAGAACTAGGAAGCGTGCACCTAAATGTACGAATACGCATACAAACAGGCGTGCACGTATGCGTGTCCACACACACACACTTGTATTTTAGAAGCCACGAGATCACACCCACACCTCAGATTCCAGGTGATCCCCAGAGCCTCCTCCCCCATTCCATACTCGGGCGCCCCTAGCCCCCCGGCGAGAACCCTGCCACCCACACTAACACTCACTTGCTCAGTCCTACAGTGCATGGAAAATACTTTCAGCATAGCTGTGCCCACACCAGCACGGGAAACAGAGCTGCCAAGGAATGTTGAGGGTTTGGACTTCAGTCCTGAATTGTGGCTGCTGGTCTCTGAATCCCTCCCCCTCCCTCTCCCCTCATGGTGGTTCCCCTGTTTGAAATATCATTAGGTTCGTTTGCTTAGCTTTGTTATCAATTTCAGGTGCCCCCCCATTCCGATCTTAATGATTTAATTTTACTTTTTGAAAATGTAGGATACGACACACCTAACCCAGTTGGCCCATAGCAGGAACTTTGTCGTTGCTTACGGAAAATTCAAGTAGATGTCAGAGGGGAAAAAGTCCAAGTGCAAAGGTACTTCCTTCTCTCCTTGACCCGAGTGAGTGCGGACTCCACCCTGACTCCCGATTTCCTGGGCTCTCCTCTTGGGGAAAGTCCCCTCTCCCCACGGACACCACACCCAGGATTCCAAGAGGGCAGGATCTTGGTTCCAGATCTGAGTTTCTCTTGGGGGCACTGTCTGGCAGGGTGGAGGCCAGGCATGTAATTTCCAGAGACCCACAGCCCCGGACAAGCAGCCCTGCTGGGGGACACATATTTGCATGTGGATCACGAGTGCATCTGCATAGACCCGTCATCTCTGCTCCGTCTGACTTGTCTTTCCTCTTTCTTTACACTTACTGCTTTTCACAAATCTCAGTTCCTTTTATGCAACGGATTTAGCAGAATGTGGAAAGGCGGGGAAGCCAGGGAGCATGCTGGAGGACACTTGGTCACTGGCCACTTACCACCAGCCGTGGGGATTTGTTTTCCAAGACGGTCAGAGAGCCGATTCCCCGGGGTTCCTTGCTCTGTTCCTGGGGCCCCAACCCAGTCATTTAACTGCTATGCCTCATCTACAAAATACAGCTAGGGGTGCCTGGGTGGCTCAGTCGGTTAAGCATCTGACTTCGGCTCAGGTCATGATCTCGCGGTTCGTGAGTTTGAGCCCCACGTCAGGCTCTGTGCTGACATCTCACAGCCTGGATCCTGCTTCGGATTCTGTGTCTCCCTCTCTCTACCCCTTCCCTGCTCATGCTCTGTCTCTCAAAGATGAATAAACATTAACAAAAAATTTAGGGGCGCCTGCATTGCTCGATTGATTAAGCGGTCAAGCATCCGACTTCGGCTCAGGTCATGATCTCGCGGTTCGTGAGTTTCGAGCCCCACAATGGGCTCTGTGCTGACAGCTCGGGGCCTGGAGCCTGCTTCGGATTCTGTGTCTCCCTCTCTCTGCTGCTCCCCTGCTCACTCTCTGTCTCTCAAAAAATGAATAAACGTTAAAAAAAAAATGTATCAAATACAGCTAGACTGTCTTTCTCCTCCACAGAAACTGGAACGACTCGCCACGTAAACCCTTTAACGGGTTTTGAAGTCTCGGGGGAGGGACCCCTTTGAGCAGGAGCAAAGGCACCGTTGAGGAGGAGGGGTGGGAAAGGAGCTGGCTCCCCGGCTGATAGGGAAACAGTGTTTCCATTGTCCCTCCTCCCCACTGGCAGCTGTACCTGCTGAAGCAAGAGCTAGAACGCGAGAAGATGTCTTCTTCCCACGAGCGGGACTGTGAGCGGGACTGTCGAGAGCGTTCCCCGCAGATGGCCGACGGCCTGGGGCCCGGGGACAAGGAGCTGACCCGCCTGAAGGAGGAGAACGAGAAGCTCCGGTCGCTGACGTTCAGCCTGGTGGGTCCCCTCCCTGTCCCCTCCCTGGCAGCCAGCTGGAGTTTCCCGCGGGCCGCGGGGCTCCCGACGGGTGGTCCGTGGAGGGGGCGCTGAGGACTGACTGGGCTGCAATCTGGCCTTCCTGCTCCTCCCCTGCCCCCAGCGTTGGCGGGACTCACAGCTAGCGGACGTGCATGACAATGCCCCACTCGGCTGGGCGGCTGATTCTACAGGCTGGGGTTCAAGGCTGTGGGCGGGGGCGTGAGGGGGGACCCTTCTGCCTGCCGTCCTGCCCACGCGTGCTCTGGTGACACCAGGGCCCCGGCATTACACAAACCCTTTTTGCCTCTCCTCTTCGGTTCCTTCCGGTCAATATTATGTCCATTTACTGAGCGGGGATAGACACTCACCGGGTGCAGGGTAGGTGGCCGCCCTGGCGCTGTCTGTCACGCGGCCTGGATGGTGCCATCGCGCCTAAGCCCCTTCCCGCAGAGCGGGCGACGGGCAAGGCTGTGTCCGTCGGTGTTCCGTCTCTCAGAGACCCTGCTGGTGGATCTGGGGACGGAGCGGCCCGACACTGCCACCCCCGGGGACTCTCGGTTTCCTTTACCTTCCGTCGCCGACCGCATGGAAGTAGAAGTGAAATGCACCCGTTTTGATGGCCGACCCGGCCTTTCCTTCTGTGAGATGCGCGGGAATAAGGCCAAATCCATCCACGCGCCCGGCCTCGAGATTTCCTGTTGCCCGTTCCCGGGGAAGAACGATGGGGTGCTTCCCAGGGGCAGGCGTCTCAGGAGGCCGGGGCCCCGGGGCTGACCTCTCTTTGCCCCAGGCGGAGAAGGACATCCTGGAACAGAACCTGGACGAGGCCCTGGAGGGCACGCAGACGCTGGTGGAGCGTATCCACTCCCTGAGGCAGCGGGCCGTGGCCGCCGAGAGGCAGCGGAAGCAGGTGACCCTTCCGGGCCGCGTCCGGCACCGCGGGGCACGGGCGGGGGCCGCGGGCCCTTGAGACCACACCGCGCTTAAACCCAGCGCCGCTTCCCGAGCACGCTGGCCTGACCGCTCATCCTTCACGGAAGCCACGTGGAACACAGACCCAAGGCTAGAGGCCCCGTCCGGTTAGTGGGTGGTCAGAGAGCAATCGGACAAACGAGCAATAGAACGGAGGGTGCTCTCCGGTGGGGGCCCCCGGGGCCAGCACCAGGGGTTTATTCAGTTGCCACAACAGGCAAGGGGAGGACACAGAGGAAGGAGACAGCGCGAGAAAATGAGGCGGTAGCGTCGAGGGAAATTATTTACGTCTCTGGGGACGTGGAGTGAATGAAGCACAGTTGTACATGCAGCACCCATGCGTATTTCTTTAAGATTTTATTTTTTTAATTTTTTTTTTTTTCAACGTTTATTTATTTTTGGGACAGAGAGAGACAGAGCATGAACGGGGGAGGGGCAGAGAGAGAGGGAGACACAGAATCGGAAACAGGCTCCAGGCTCTGAGCCATCAGCCCAGAGCCCGACGCGGGGCTCGAACTCCCGGACCGCGAGATCGTGACCTGGCTGAAGTCGGACGCTTCACCGACTGCGCCACCCAGGCGCCCCTTTAACATTTTATTTTTAAGTGATCTCCGCACCCAACGTGGGGCTCGAACCCGCAGCCCCGAGATCCAGAGTCACACGCTGTACCGACTAAATTCAATTATAATCAGCATAGCAGCCCTGTGGATAGACGCACCTTGAAATTTGGCCCTTAAGACACGGGCAGGAAGTCACCTATGTTACCACCTGGACGGTCCCCCCTTTCTGCCTCCCCGAGGCACCCCAGCCCCACCCCGTCGTCAGCCCCCAGAGCCACTGGCCTGCATGGGCTGTGTCTGTCCCCCGTCCAGTACTGGGAGGAGAAGGAGCAGACCTTGCTGCAGTTCCAGAGGGCTAAGGTCGACTGTGACATCTACAAGGAGAAGATCAGCGCCCTACAGGGCCAGTTGCTGGAGCTGCAGCGAGAGCGAGACCAGGTGCCCGGAGGGGAGGGGCCCCGGGGTGCCGCCTGGCCGAGTCCCCGCCACTGCTGTCCCCCGCTGGCCGGCTCACTCCTCCCTCCTTTCCTTTCTGCCTCCCAGGCCTACTCCGCGAGAGACGCGGCCCGGATGGAGATTTCTCAGAGCCTGACAGAGAAGGACGCCCTCCGCAGGAAAGTGTTTGAACTGACAGACCAGGTCTGGGAGCTGCGCCATCGGCTTCACCAGCCACAGGCCGAGTCCCTGCGCGGGGTGAGTGCCCCCCTCCCACCCCACGGGGATGCGGTTGGGTGGCGGGGCTGGGAGGCCAGGTGGGCACAGCGGGCGTGGGGGCGGTACCGGGCCACTCACCGACGCTGCCGGGGCATCGGGTTGAGCCGCATCCACGGCACACCGGCGCTCGTGGGTGAACCATGTTGCCGGGTCCTTGAAGAGGCACATCGGGGCAAGTTGGGTCTGTGTCCACCTCTCCTTTCGTGGTAATCTTGTGCAAGTCATGAAAGGGGTAGCTTGGCAGAAGGTTCTGGAACCTCTAAAGTATGGTGTTCGATGAAGAAAGCAAGCGTGTGAAACCGGGCAGGCAGCCACTTGCTTTTGTAGATGATGCATTCCGGGTTTGCAAGTCCAACGTCCGGGAGCTGACTTCCACGCATGAAGGGAACTGCATTCCCCAAGGGCTAAAATGATTATAAAAACCTTCCGTCAGGATCTGTCCACAGCTCCAGCTCTGGCACCGGCCCGGGGGGGGGGGGGGGGCGGAGAGCCTCTTCAGAGGCGCCCGGGGAACTTGGTGAGGCCGTGGGAGACCCTCCTCTTCCTGGGCAGGGTCCCAGCTGCTTCCTCCTCCACCCTCCCCACATTGACCATGTTCCAAATACATATACATATAAAAACACAGCAAAATGCTAACGGTCTTGTTTTTTGAGTGTGGAGGATGGGTGGCTTTTCTTTTCTTCTCTAATCAATTCTGTTCGCCTCCGATACTCTGTATGGAGTGTGGTTGTTCTACGTATAGCATGTGTTATTTGTGTAACCTGTAAGGAACAATGCATAATCCCTAAAATACCATTCCCCAAGCTGGTTGCTTTCCTTCTCTTCAGTGGTCAGCTCCTGCTGTGAGGGGTGGTGGTGGGGGGGGGTCCCAGGCTCGGAGGAGGGGATGTGATGAGGGAACAGTGCCCAGAGGGAAGAGGTGGGAGGTGGAGGCAGGAGGGGGACACGGGAGGGAGTTGACTTGCTGGGACCCCCCCGAGGGCATCCAAGAGGAAACTCTCCTGCGCTGAACAGCCTGTGGCCCATCTTTGGCAGCCTGAGCAGGAAGCCGGAGCCCGGGAGCCGTGTCCAAAGGGGAAGCAGCGGCTCGTGCGCATGTTGGCCATCTGTCCGTGGGATGACAGTGACCGCAGCTTCACCGAGGTACAGCGGCTGCCTGGTCCCCTCCTGGGGCCTGGCCAGGCGCACCCCCACCTACCGGGATAGAGGGGGCCTGGCTGGCACACCGCAGGTGCTAACGAAGTACTTGTGAAGCAAACCCGGTGGGGGGGGGGGGCTGCATTCAGATCTATCTTCCAGTGCCTCGCTCCGCACTGTGGCCCTCATCAGCCAGGAAGTTGGCCTCTCTGGGCCTCAGCTGCTTTGTTTGTAAAGTGGGACAACACTACCCCACCACGTAGATTTATCTACCAGAACTGAGCTACACGAAATATGGAAAGCAGCTAAGAGGGTGCCTGGCACATAGTAGGTGTTCAGTTAGTGTGACCTTGCTCTGTGCTGTGTCCTTGTCGCCTCCTCTGCCCTGACGGTTAGGGACCCCGCTGCTCCGCGTGAGCCCCGTGAGCCCCACGTGAGCCCTGTACGACCTCTGTCCTGGCCCCCCCCCCCCCCAGTCTCAGCTCTGCTCTGACCTGAGCGCCACATCCAGCCGTGAGCTGGTGGACAGCTTCCGGTCCAGCAGCCCCATGCCTCCCAGTCAGCAGTCCCTGTACAAGCGGGCCGCAGAGGACTTCTGGGACGACCCCTGGTCTTTCAGGTAAGGGACTGGCAATGGGGTTCAGATGGCACGGGCCCCGGCAGCTCACCGGGACCCCGGCCGAGGGCTGGGCAGGTGCCGGGAGCTCTGGGTCTGAGTCAGGGAGCAAGCGATCACCCTTCTTCCCATGCTTTCCAGCAGCTTCCCAGAAACCCTGCAGGTGGACCGGGGACCCTCCCCGGGGGCTAAGGCAGGTGCTGCAGACCTCGATTATGAGATTGTAGATGCGGCAGGTGAGTGCACCACCCCCCCCACTGGACCTCTGCAGCGGCCCCCCTCTCCTGGGCAGCTGAGCAGGAGGAGAAGTGAGGACAGGGGTCTTCAGGGAGGCGGGTGAGACAACCCAGTGCCTCTCCAGAGGGCAGGGGAGGCGAGCTTCACTGCTGCCCCGCCCCAGGCCTCTGGGAAATGCAGACCACCTGGTCACTCAAGCCCATGCCCCGATGTGCCCTGTTACTGGGTGTCCTTTCTATCTCACCTGGAAGCGGAGGGAGCTGTATTCATCTTTCTGTCCAGCTCGGCATCAACATTCCCACGTGTTCTCTCCCTGTGCCCCCCCTGCTCTGACCCCGGGACGCTTAAGTGATACCGGAAGGCAAAGGGGGTTAGTCCCCACTGCTCCTGGAAGAGACCCCTGCTGTGAGCATCTCTCCTCCCGGGTGCTGCCACCTGCCACCTGAGACCTCCCCACATCGCCTGCGGCCTATTCTTCACATTTGTGACTTAACTGGTCTCCTCTCCTTCTCAGGCCATGGGCCCCACAGGGGCGGCCTCCCCACCTTTTCCACCCCAGCTCAGCTGCCCCCAGCCGTGGCCCCCCCGCACACACAACAGGTGCTTAGCACCCCGTCTGGAGTTCACGCAGTTGGCCGCCAGGGGGCGCACGCACCTTGCTCTGTACAGAACAGCCACACCTTTGGGGCAGGCGGGGTCCCAGGCTCCCTGTGGGTCACTGACCAGGCAGCTGATGGCCGGTGCTGGCAGTTGCCGCCGTGGGGAGTTGCAGGTCCCTGCAGAAATGCGGGCCCAGGGTTATGCCAGATCTGATTGGGTTTTTTTTTTTTTTTATGTTTTTATTTTAATCACCCGGTGTTTATCACAAGTGCACTCCTTAATCCCCCCATCTCCTATTTCGCTCACCCCCCCCCACCCTAGATTTGATTTTTAATGTAGCCAGAAATCCAGACTCTAGCTGCCCTATCCTGTAAAATGTTGGCAACTCAACTTTCACATAAGGACACCGTGTAGGTCAAACCCCACTGCTGTTTGGGGGAAGATAAAATGAGGTTCTAAGCAGCGAGAAAGGAAAGAGGAAAGGAAGGTTCCGCCTCAGCAGAAGGAGACAGACCAGCGGGGGTGGGGGTGGGGGTGGTGGCTAAGGCTCTGGTGGGGGGGGGGTGAGGTAGCCCAGGTGAGCAGAAGCTCCGTCAGGAGGGGTGACCTCGGGGCTGGCCTGGCTCGTGTCTGAGCCCTCTGCTTCCGTCCAGAACTTGCCGACTGTGACAGCCTGCAGCCATCCTCCGGGGGCCTCTCCGTCTCAGCCAGGTGAGCGGCGGAAGGGCGCCAGGGCCAGCAGGTGGCAGGGCAGAGTGAGGACTGTGTCCCATCACTGTTGGGAGGTGACAGCATTTCTGAGGATGGGGTTGTGGCTGGGTGGGTGAGGGGAGGTGAGAATTCCAGGTGCTGGGGCCGGTGGGGACAGGGCCGTGCCTGACCGCCTGCTCTCGGTGGCTCGTGGGCTCTGTCCCCTCCTCTCCTGCAGCAGCGTCCCGGTGCGGAGGAGGCCGGCCCGCAAGATCCTGAGCCAGGTCACCGTGCTGGCCTTCCAGGGGGACGAGCTGCTGGAGCAGATAAGTGTCATTGGCGGCAACCTCACAGGCATCTTCATTCACCGGGTCACCCCAGGCTCCGCGGCGGACGAGATGGCCTTGCGCCCGGGCACCCAGATCATGATGGTGAGTGTGGCACCGGGCCCGCGAGTCCCCCAGGATCTTCCCCAGCGGCGTCAGCAGCGGCAGCTCCAGCCGGAGGAGAACGTGCTGTCGGGGTAGCCCACGCTCCCTCTCAGGCTGAGGTTAATGCTCACTCGGAGGCCAGGGTCCTGTGACGAGGCCACAGGCCAGTACTGAGGTGGGGCCTTTTTAAAAAAAATTTTTTTTAATGTTTTTATTTCTTTTGGAGACAGAGACAGAGCACAAGTGGGGGAGGAGCAGAGAGAGAGGGAGACACAGAATCGGAAGCAGGCTCCAGGGTCCGAGCCGGCAGCCCAGAGCCCGATGCGGGGCTCGAACCCACGGACCGCGAGATCATGACCTGAGCTGAAGTCGGACGCTCAGCCGACTGAGCCCCCCCAGGCGCCCCGAGGGGCCTTTGTTAGCTGTGTCGACCACTTTGTGTGTGTGTAGTGAAATGCGCGTAACGCTAATGTGTTAGTGTTCACTGGGGGCATTTGAAAAAGCTTTTTAATTGTAAAATATTCGTTAAACTGCAAAACCCACTTAACTAGTTATTATCGAGTGAATAGTGGGCAGGAAGGTGACGTTGATGTGGCCTGAAAGCAGGAAAGAGTCGCCCAGTTCCCAAGGGCTGGTTCCCCCAGGAGGAGCCTGGGGTGAGGCGGGCACAGCGCCTGGAGTCAGTGCTGACAAGGGCAGGGGGGTGCACCTTGGTCAGGAGCCCTGGCCCCGCGGTTCATCTTTGATCTCGTGCAAGGGGCGCGCGCACACACACACACACACACACACACACACACACACACACACGGCCCTTCCTCACATCCCTAACATGCCCCTTAAGATCCTCAGTCATCGGCCTACCTTGCGGTTAAAGCGACAGGAGCCTTTGTGACGTCTGCAGAGACGGTCCTGACATCCAAATGGGGCCAGTTCGGTTCTAACAGCATAAAAACGTTTCGAAATATATTTTTTTATTCTTTATTTAAAGTTTTTATTTTAATTGCGGTTAGCTAAGTAATCCAGGGTAAGATTAGTTTCAGGTGGACAATAGAGTGATTCGACACTTCCATCCGTCACCCGGTGCTCCTCACAGGTGCCCTCCTTCACCCCCGTCCCGTTTCACCCATCTCCCCACCTCCCCTCTGTAACCACCCGCGTGTTCTCTGTAGTTGAGTCTGTTTCTTGGTTTTTGTCTCTCTCTCTCTTTCGTTTGCTCCTTGGTTTTGTTTCTTAAATTCCACATAAATCGTATGGTATTGTCTTTCCATGAATATTTCACCTACTGTCATACTTTCTAGCTCCATCCATGTCATTGCAAATGGCAAGACGTCATTCTTTTTGATGCTGAGTAATACTCCACTCTGTGTGTGTGTGTGTGTGTGTGTGTGTGTGTGTGTGTGTGTGTGTGTAAACCACATCTTCTTTATCCGTTTCATCAGTCGATGGACACTTGGGCTGTTTCCATAATTTGGCTACAGTTGATAGTGCCCCTGTAAACATCTGGGTGCGTGTATCCCTTCTGATCTGTATTTTTGTATTCTTTGGGTAAATACCTACCAGTGCAATTGCTGGGTTGTAGGATAGTTCTATCTGTAACTTTCTGAGGACCCTCCATACTGCTCTCCAGAGTGGCTGCACCAGTTTGCATTCCCACCAGCAGGGCAAGAGGGTTCCCTTTCTTCACATGCTTGTCAACACTTGCCATTTTTGAGTTTTTGATTTCAGCCATTCTGACAGTGTGAGGTGGCATCTCATCGTGGTTTTGATTGGCGTTTCCCTGTTGAGGAGTGACGGCGAGCGTCTTTCCATGTGTCTTTTGGCCATCTGGATGTCTGCTTTGGGAAAACATCTACTCGTGTTTTCTGCCCATTTTTCAACTGGGTTTTTGTTTTTCGGGTACTGAGTTGCATCAGTTCTTTACATATGTTGGATACTAACCCTCTGTCTGAGATGTCGTTTGCGGAAGTCTCCTCCCACTCCGTAGGCTGCCTTTTACTTTTGTTGACTGTTTCCTTCACTGCGCGGAAGCTTTTTATCTTGATGAGGTCCCAGTAGTTCGTTTTTGCTTTGGTTTCCCTGGCCTCCGGAGACGTGTTGAGTAAGAAGTTGCTACGGCTGAGGCCAAAGAGGTTACAGCCTGCTTTCTCCTCGAGGTTTTCGAGGGCTTCCTGTTTTACATTTAGGTCTTTCATCCATTTTGAGTTTATATTTGTGTACGGTGTTGGGACGTGGTCTAGTCTCATCCTTCCGCATGCTGGCCAAGCCGCGTGCTAGAGAAGGGACGGTGGTTGACTCTCGGGTCGGGAATGTGTGTGGTCAGAGGAGCTGACATCGAGATGTCCTGAAACAGGGCCGGTGACAAGGGCTCTGATGGGTGTGTGTGGATGGCTGGGAAGGGCGAGCGGGTCCTTCTGTAGGGTACACCCCTGTACTCAGACTGTGACCGCAGAATCCGGCTCAAAGGATGCCGACACTCGTGATTTGCCCTCAGGTGGATTACGAGGCAACGGAGCCCCCGTTCAAGGCCACCCTGGAGGACACAACTCTGGAGCAGGCCGTCGGACTTCTCCAGAGGGTGAACGGCTTCTGCTGCCTGTCTGTGAAGGTCAACGTGGAGGGTACACACTCCCCCACACCACCCACCCCGTGAGGCCACCACTGGAGGCTTGTGCCACTGAGTCCCGTGTCCGTGAGCCCCTGGCTGCACCGAGGCCAAGCCCTCCCGCCCACCCCGGGACCATACTGTGCCCCAAGTCTGCAGACGACCCCAGGGCGGCTGGGGATCTTCCACCCACGGACTCCAGCACCGAGATGGCTTCTAAGACTCTGGGGGGGCGGGGGTCCTTCCTTCTCCCTTTCTCTCACATTCCAGACCCTTCCTCGTTGTGGGATCACAGCCCAGGCTTATCTCTGATCAGGTTATAAGAAGTTGGTCCAGGACCTGGAGGCCAAAGTGGCTACCTCGGGGGACTCCTTCTACATCCGGGTCAACCTGGCCCTGGAGGCGAGGGCGGTGGGGGAGCTTCAGGTGCAATGCAACGACATCCTGCATGTCACCGACACCATGTTCCGGGGCCGCGGCTGCTGGCACGCCCACCGCGTGGGCCCCTATAGCACGAAGGGCACCGAGAGGGGCAGCATCCCCAACTATGCACGGTGAGCATCTGTCCTACACCCCAACACCTTCCCGGGTTGGGCCAGGGCGCTGCCAGGGTCGCCTGGCCTGGCTTCTCGTGGACGAACCCCCCTGCCAGCGAGGAAGAGTGGTCTCCCCAGGCTTCCCTCCACTGCCCAGGAGCAGAGGGTAGGCATGATGAGATGTGCCCCCAAGTGGATGGAACCCCCAATGTGCCACCTCAGTTTTACTGCTTACATGAGGTTTCTTTGTGAGAAGGGATGGCCTTCATCCTAGAGCATTCTAGAGCACTGAGGACCAGCATGACACTGGGGCTGGCTCAGTCTGTCACGGGGGGCTGCCTGGGCACAGCAGGATGTCAGTGGTCCTTCTGCCCCCTAGTTGTGACAATGAAAAATGTCTTCTCCAGACATGGCCCGGTGTCTCCTGGTATGTCTGGGACTTGTTGGTTTGAGCACAGAAGTCCCGCGTCCTGGGACAGCTGGACAGGGGGTGGCCTCCCTGGGAGCAACGACACGCCTGCAGAGAACCGTGTTCTGGACCGAGCGTGGTCCACGAAGCGTGGGCGTCGGCCGTACCTGGCCGTCGAGGTTCTGGAACGTGGCCCAGACCCAGGCTCACACCGAGTCACCTGGGCTCCGACTCACAACAGTTCATGTGGCAGCTGCAGGGGCGGGCCAGGGCTTTGCACTTTTTCGAAAGCCCCAGCGGACCATAGTGGCCACCAGAGTGGAGAGCAGCTGCCTGGGGCCACAGGGGTGCTCTTGGGGTGCTGGGCAGGGGCCCCCTCTCGTCAAGCCCTCCTTGCCAGTGGGTCAGGGCTGTGCTCTTCTGCACAGGGCTCAGCAGCTGCTCATTGCTCTGATCCAGCGGAGCACCATCGCCCGCAAGGTGAGGCGGGGAGGGCCGCACCCGGACCCCGGACATGGGCGCCTGCTATGGGGGCCCTGCCTCCCCCCTCCCCGGCCCTCCTCCTCCCGGCTCACAGCACCTGGAGGGCCCTGGCCCCATCTGGGGTGGGCTGGAAGGGGGGCAGGTGCTGGCCTGCTGACCCCATGGGTGCGACCCCTGGCATGTCTCTCCCTGGGGGGCCCCTCCGGCCGTCACCTGGGTCTGCACCCTACACCCAGCCCGCAAGCTTCTCTAATGCGTGCAGGTGCCCTCTCTGTCATGCCCCCAGTTCATCCCATTTGCCCGTCCCCACCCCATCCCATTCCCTCTGAGGTCCTGACACAGAGCCCTCAGCTGTCCCGGGATTGGGGCAGGGCCGGGCTGTGGGGCCCCTCCCCTCCTCTCCCCTCCCCTCCCCTCCCCTCCCCTCCCCTCCTGCCTCACTCTGGATGCCCTGCCTGAGGACCCTCTCCTGCCTCCCTTCATCTCCCACCCTCCGGTGTGGGGCCTGCGCCACCTGGCTGTTCGGCGGGCACAGCCTGGTGGCCCGGGGACCAGCCTGGGTTTGGCCGTGTGCAGACGGCTTGGACACCTGCTCGTCCCTCTGCTCCCCTCTAGCAGTCTTCTGGGGGAGCCCAGAAGCTGGTCCGCATCGTCAGCGTGGACAGAACCAAGGCCAGCCCTGTGTGCTCGTCCTCTGAGGGGGCCCTGTCGGAGCGCAGCAAGCCAGAAGGTGAGGCGGCCGGAGCGGGCCGAGGGTCCCTTGATAGCCCCCTCATGCCAGGCACGGGTGGGAGGTCATAAGAGAGGTCAGCACGGCACATCCCCCGACCCTGTCAAACCGTGTAGACGAAGACAGTAGAAGTGGATCGTCTTGAGTTAGTCGTCCTCTTTTTGGAAAGTGTTTTGGGTGCGTAACATGACTGCTGAAGACAGAAGGACAACCTGGAAGGCCAGGGTTCCGGAGGGAGGGAAGGCCTGGTGCTGTGGGTCCAGCAAGGGCGGGGACCCCGGGGCCAGGGGTCAGGCTGACCGTGGGGACGGCAGGGAACTGCGTTTCTCCATCCTGGGGTGGGCCTGTGGAGCGGCACCTGGAGAGACCGGAGCCCCGGATCAAAGGGTGCAAGGAGCCGCCGAGCAGGGCGTGTGGGAGGCGGGCGTCACCGGTGGGAGCCGAGCGTGGGCCTGTGTCCCAGCAGGAACCCCGGGCTGTGCAGACACGGACGGACTCGGTGCGTCCTGGGCCGTGGGGGCTGGTGAGCAGCCCAGCCTGGAGCCTCACGCCTCCTCTCCCCCACAGAGCCCTCCACCACGTGCTTCTGGGCCGAGACCTGCTTCACCCTGGTGCCCTACAGCCTGGTGCGTCCCCACAGGCCCAGCCGGCCCCGGCCCGTGCTCTTCGTGCCCAGGGTGGTCGGCAGGATCCTGAGCGAGAAGCTGTGTCTCCTCCAGGGGTTTAAGAAGTGCCCAGCAGGTACGCTGTCGCCTGGGAGCCCCGCCTGTCAGGTGGCAGAGCGAGCCCTTGGCAGAATGCTTGTCTTCTTCTCTGGAGGCCCTGGGGCTGCTGTGACAAGGGACCACAGATTGGGCCACTCTGCACAGCAGGGATTTATTCTCCCGGGGTGATGCAGTCCAGAAGGCGGACATCCAGTGTCTCTGGGCTGCCCCCCGCCCGGAGGCTCCAAGGGGTGGGGTTCTCCTTTCCTTTCCTGGCTTCCGGGGTGCCCGCAGTCCTGGGGGTCCCGGCCTGTGGCTGTGTCACTGTGCTTTCTGCCTCCTTGTCCTGTGACCTCCCCTCTCCATGTCTGTCTTTGGCCCCTTTTTTTTTTAGTTTATTATTTGTTTATTTATTTATATATTTATTTAATTATTTAGAGAGCATGTGAGCAGGGGTGAGGGGTGCAGAGAGAGAGAGAGAGAGAGAGAAAAGAGAGAGGGAGAGAGAGAGAGAGAGAGAGAGGGAGAGAGAGAGAATCCCAAGCAGGCTCCTGGCTGTCAGCGCAGAGCCCAACGTGGGGCTCTAATGAACGGTGAGATCATGACCTGAGCCAAAACCAAGAGTCGATGCTTAACCAACTGAGCAACCCAGGCGCCCCTCACAGTCTTCTTATAAGGAACCAATCTTGAGGCACCTGGGGGGCTCAGTCGGTTTGGCGTCCGACTTCAGCTCAGGTCACGATCTCACAGCTTGTGAGTTCAAGCCCTGTGCCGGGCTCTGTGCCGACAGCTTGGAGCCTGGAGCCTGCTTCGGATTCTGTCTCCCTCTCTCTCTGCCTCTAACCCCCTCGCATTCTGTCTCTGTCTCAAAAATAAAACATTAAAAAAAAAATTTAAAGGAACCAATCTTTAGGGCCGTCTTCTTCCAGGATGACCTCATCGTAACTAATCACATCTGCAAAGACCCTATTTCCAAATAAAGTCACAGCCCGAGGTTCCAGGTGCTCACGCATTTAGGGGGGATGCTGTTCGATCCAGCGCAGTCGCTGCTCGCAGATAGGGTTGTACGGAACCGGGGCGGGACCAGCGGAGGGCTCCACCCGCCTGCTCACCTCCAGAGCTGCTCGGTGGAGGGTCCCCGAGAGACCCCGGCCATCTGGACTGCCAGATCCCAGGGGACAGGGTCTGAGCGTCTGCACCGCAGAAAGAAGGTTGCGGCGGTTGGAGAGCGGGACGCGGGCTTTGTGGGAGTTTTCGTTCATCCGCTCGCCGCTGGCTGATGGCTGCGGGAGGCCTTGGCTCTGCACTACCCATGGAGCTCACAGAGGGCACCGGGCCGCAAGTGTGTGGGCAACGTTCGGGCGGCGAGGCCCGGGGAGAGGAGCTGTCCATGAGCTGGGGTCGCCGTGACCATGGGGACGCTCTGGGGGCGCGGCTCGGACTCCGGAGAATGGGCGTCAGGACCGAGAGTGGACAAGTGGGGGTGTCTTGACTGGTTCATTCAGGGCAAGGGGTCTCCGCCCGGGCACCGACAGCGGGCTGGGGCGGCCTCACTCTCTGTGCTGGGGCCCGTCCCTGGCCTCCACCCACCAGATGCCGGTAGCACCCCCTCCCCCTGAGCCGTGACGGCCCAAAATGCGTCCGGACGTCGCCAGGTCTCGCTTGGGGGCCCCACAGCCCTGACCTGTGGGCTCTAAGGGATTCCTAGGGGTGACAAGCTGGACATTCACGTTTGGATCTTGAGGGTGTGGGAGAGGGGTTTATCCGCACCCTTCCTCCCTCTCTTCCGTCCATCCGTGCACCCACGTCCGGGCACTGGCAGAGCACGTGACTGATGGTCGAAGGTGGGCGTGCAGGGCACAGACTCTTCTGAGCGTGAAGAGCAGGGCCAGGGGTACACAGACGACACCCTAGGCAGAGGGTTCCCCAGAGCTGGGGGGTCCACCGGGGTGAGAGTGCTCAGGACCTCGCAGAGCTGGGTGCCTGATGTCCCCGTCCACTGTCACCTTCAGAGTACTTGAGCCAGGAGGAATACGATGCCTCCAACCAGAGGGGGGACATCATCCAGGAGAAGGAGGCATCCGGTGGCCGCTACTGGGTGACCCGCAGGGCCATTGAGTCCCTCATGGAGAAGGTAATGGGCAAGGCTGGGAGCTGCCCAAATGGGGGTTTGGGGACCCATCTCCGGAGGATGGTGGTGGGACAGGGCAGGAAGGACTGACGCTGAGATCGGAGGGACGCTGGTGGCCAGCCTGCAGGCTAGGGACGCCCCGTGCTGGTGCTCAGCTAATCTCTGGCTCAGCGTGCGGAGGGCGTAGTGCGGAAAGACCGAGCCCCGTCTCCGCCATCTGGGATCTGTTAACTTCCCTGAGCCGGATTCCTTGGCACAGGAAATTTGAGTAATATTTGTTAAAACGAGGAATAAAATGGAGATAAGCCTCCATACTGATTTAAGGCTCAAACGAATACACGAAAAGCAGCTCACCGTGAACCATGCGGTTTTATGTGGACGTGAGACGGGCAGGCCCAGCTGTGAGCCAGAGGCAGATGCCCCCCCCTTCCCAACCCCCGCCCACAGAGGCTGACGGGGCCTCCCGACCGGGAGGGTTCTGGCCCCCCACAAAGTCTCCTGCGACCCCAACGACTCACAGTTCCTAGATTCTGCCGATGAAACACCAAACGGACAGACCTGAAATGGTACAGCAAGTGCCCTCGCACCCAACAGGGCGCCCCCGGCTTCTCTCCCCATCGCCCCTCCCCGGTGTGGGCTCCTCTCGCTGCCTCTGAGGCCGAGGACCTTGAGCCATCTCCCCTGTCCCCTGCAGAACACCCACGCCCTCCTGGACGTCCGGCTGGACAGCGTCCGTGCCCTCCACAGGTCGGAGATCTTCCCCATCATCGTCCACATCTCCGTCAACGAGAAGGCGGCCAAGAAACTCAAGTAGGTGGGATCCCGAGGGCTGGCGGTGGGGCTGAGCCTGGCGTCACGTGCCTCCGGGGCACGGCCTGGGGTCTGGGACGAGCACCTGCAGCCTCCCCCCTGGGAGCAGCCCTGACGGTGAGGGAGGCCTGGCACCCGCCTTGACTAAGGCCGCGTGTTCGCTGGGGTACGAGAAGCTCACGGTCCAGCTGCACTGGGTGAGGACAGGAGCTGAACACCGTTACTTGGGGTGTGGCTGGGGACAAACCCAGACGTCCTATTGTCCCCTTACCACTTGTCAGCTGAGGTTGTAAACTGGACCCTGCGCCCCACACCCATGCAGCGTCGTCCGGGGCCTGACTCCTGTCTTCCTTACGAGGCGCTCGGACCCCCAAAGCGGGGCAGGGCATTTGTGCCGCGTGGCCCGTGTGCTGGTCCCCTGGCATTCCGCGCCGGCGGTCGGCTTCCTGGGGCTCCGTGCTGGGCCGCCGCACGCAGCTCTCGCTGAGGGGTCCCCCCCTCCCCGTGTCCGGCCCGTGCAGGAAGGCCCTGCAGCGGCTCAACACCTCGGAGCGGCAGCTACTGGAGGCGGGCAGGCAGGAGGAGGGCGAGCTGGACGAAGTGCCCTGTCTGTACAGCAGCCTGGCCCCCGATGGCTGGAGTGACCTGGAAACCCTGCTCGGCTGTGTCCGCTTGGCCATCGCAGACGAGCAGAAGAAGGTTGTGTGGACAGAGAAGAGCCCCCGCTGACGCCCCCGGAGTCCCCTCCAGAAATTGTGGGGACCTCTGAGTCCCCACAGGAGTCCCTGACAACGTGGCCCTGTGCGTTGAGCTCAGGGCCTCTCAGGCACAGCCCTGCGGGTGCTCACCAAACAAGCCCAGCTCTCCGGGCATTGGCTCCCCTCTCTCACCAGGGTCTGACCTTGAACTACATGCAGGGGACAATGGGCATTCGGACCATCTCCTCCTCCTCCAAGGCTCCGCGTGGTCTGGAACCAGACGCCCCAAGAACATTTCTGCAGTGGGGGCGTCTCCCGAGCCTTCCCGGAGCCAGAGGCCCCAGATGTCCAGAAAACCACCCGTCGGACCCGAATCACTGTACTTCCCTTTGCAATTCAATGTGCCAAAGCGCTTGTTCCAAAGCCACGGTGGCTGCAAGCTGATAGCCCTGATGACCCCCATGGTCACTCCCATCCCTGCCCAGAGCAGAGACACAACCCCTCTTGTAATGTCATCCTGGCTTTCTCAGCTCCTGATGGCAGACAGGTGCCTCAGTAACTCCAATTTAGAGAGATGTGTGTATGTGCTGGGAAGCCTAGTTTCCCAGTGATGGAAACAGTATTTTCAGCGGTGCCTGGCGGTTTTGGGGGACCCGTGGGGGTCCTCGAGAAGCCTTCCACAGACACATTGCACAAATGCCATCTGGGCTCCCCGAGCCTGGGAACTGCCCCCCTCTAACTGGGTACCTCCCTCCCCACCAGCTCCTTCTCCAGAGTAAAGCACCTTTACTCCACCTCCAGAGCTCAGGAGACATTTGGGCGTGGCTTGGGCAGGGACCCCCGGGTCCCCTGACCACCCGGCCTTGCCGCCCGCAGTCACAGACTGAATGGAGTTTTGGCAGCAGCGGCCCTGAGTCTGAGTGCCTCGGGCGGTTGCTCTAGAACTCAGACCGCCATTCTCGCAAACGAGGTCAGAAAATGAACTTCTATGTATTTTACTGAAATAAAGCTTTTCCGGTGCCCTGGACCATGGCTCTGTCCTTACGCCACCAGGATGAGGTCGGCAGGGGAGGGGAGGAAGGCAGGAGCCCACCACTCAAGGGAAAAAGCCCCCGCTTTCTGGGTCTTTCCAGGTCGAGCAGGTGGAAGCTGGGCAGGTCCGGGGCAGCTACGAGCAGCAGCACGGGTGTCCAGCCGGACAGAACTAACCCAAGCCACAGGATGGGGTCTTCGTGCTTGGACATTCAGAAAGGATGAGCTCTGCCCACACAGACCACAGAACGAAACTCGGCACCCGGGAAGCCTGCCACGGATCAGCAGCCTGGCGGAAACCCCGCCAGGGTCGGGAACTTGACCGTGGGGCAAAGCGAAGGATGCAAAACACGCTCAAGGGTTGTTCGAAGAGTTTTCAAGGCCAGGGAGTGACACGAGCCAGGCACTGGGTTCCCACATACGGTGCAGTTTGGGGCCACCGCCACCCGTGGGACACACGGAGGCCCAGCTCCTCCCGGGTGAAGGGCGCGGGGACGTCTGTGGGCTCCGAAGAATGAAGGTCTCGAGCCCCAGGTCCCAGCGCCTGCTCTTGACAGGTCCCCAGCCGAACCCAGGAAACAAGCCCCCCTTCCTGCAAGTCCTGTGCTGAGACAGGACTCGGACACCAGGACGACCGCGTCCCCACTCCCACGGGCGGAGGAAGGAGCGGGGCACAGGCCCCACCACTCCCCCCTCCACGCAGTGGCAGCAACGACCCCAGCATCAGGGAGAGCCCTGCTCAGACGGGAGGGTCGCTGCCCCTCCCTCCGCCTCAGCTGGAAAGGTGGGGACCGGGCGTGGGGAGGCCTCCCACGTCCCCCGGGCGACCCTCACAGCTCATTGTGGAGCGGCCGGCACTGGGGAGAGAGCCTCTCCTCCAGGACACCATCGGGAGCACACACCCAGGGGTCGTGGGTCTCCCACTGCCACTTGGCCAGCTGGGTCTGGAGCAGGTCCAGAACCTGGGCATAGCGTGGATCAGCGGCCAGGTTCCGGGTCTCGTGGGGGTCCTGGCTGCGGTCGTAGAGCTCCCAACGGTCCCGGTAGTAGTAGTGACGGAGGTCCTTGTACCAGCCCGTGGGCTGGCCGGCCGCGGTGCGATTCAGGAGGTCCTGAAAGGTGGGCGACACGTAGAAGTCCTGGTCGATGGGAAAGGGCATCCTGAAGTTCAGGTTGTGCACCAGGCGGAAGTCCCGGTGGTGCACGGAGCGCATGGGGTAGGCCATGGTGACCTCGTGGTGGCTCTGGCTGCCAAAGACGGTGCTCCAGAGGGGCTCTGCCTCCAGCGCCGGCAGGAGGGACCGGCCGGTGAGCCGGACGGTCTTCGAGCCAAAGATGGCGTAGCTCGGGTAAGGGACGGAGAACCAATCCAAGATGGTGGGCGTGAGGTCTGCAAAGGAGGCGGGGTGTCGGCATGAGAGCCCCCACCACGGAAGGGCTCGATCCAAGCCTTTCTGGAATGCTGCTGGGCCCCCCTGCACACCAGATCACCACCAGGGAGCCGTGCTGGGTCCAACCTGCCACTGTGGCCCCAAACCTCTAGGACGTGACGCCTTCGATGGCTTAATGAGAGGCTCCAACTTGGCAATACTGGGGCTCCTGGTAAAATCTCTCAGGTCCGTAAGGAAGCCCCCTCGGAGGGCCTCATCTGTTCTTGTCCTGTGCCGTGGCCACAGCGCTACTGAACTTGTGCTTTGGGGCCAAAGGGTGATGGGGGCCCCAAGCTGCCCTGGCCCCTCAAAGTCAGCTTCCCCGGCATCAGCAATGCAGATTCTCAGACACTCTGGGGATGTCCACGTGCACACCACGTAGACGTTCCCTAGCACTCCAGAGGGCTCTGACACTCACCCGGGGAAAAAGCAACAGTCTCGGGGGCAGCGACACTGAAGCTAGAATCCTATCTTGATGCTTACAAGCTGTGTGCCCTTGGGCAACTCACCTTACCTCTCTGATCCCCATCTGCACTTATAGAACGGGGTGGCCCTCCCTTCTCTGCCCAGGTGGTGTGGGAACCACGTAAGATAGCGGGTGTAGAGCGGTGTCTGGACACGGTGATACCACTAAATTTGCCCCCTCTCTCCTCCCCCCCCCACACCGTGTGAGCCGCGGAGCCATACCTAGGAGGCTCACGTAGGCCTCGCTGACCTGGCCCCAGCGTTTCGTGTGCTCCGGGGACGACACCAGCAAGGGTTCGGCGGTGCCCGGCCAGTACAGGTTGGTCCTGCCACTGGGGAAGGGGATCCCGTTGTCGGACGTGAAGATCACCAGGGTGTCATTCAGGACACCTGCTTCATGCAGCTCCTGGAGCACGAGTCCCACCCCTGGGGGTGCGGAGGGGAGAGCGGAGCTCAGCCACAGACAGGCATGGAGGGGCGGGGGGTGTGCGGGCACTCACACATTCCTCCGTCCACCTGTTGGATCTCTGCTGTCTGCCCCCCTCCCCTGGCCACCGCCCCGGCCCCTCACCCAGCACCCTGTCCTGCAGGGGGCCGGGGACGCCGGCCATCCCTCAGCACATCCGTGGCACCCGCACGGCCGGTTGGTTTTCTGGAATCTCACGCCTGCCCCGTGTGGGTAGCAGGGACCGAACGGGGCGACGGCCGGAAGACAGGAGTCCCTCCACACTCTCCCCCTTCCCAGGTCACCAGCCACTAACGGCGCCGAACGGTAAAGGTTCCACCTTTCGGTAGTGGCTGAACGGCGGTCCCTGCGGAGGGAAACGAACCCGCCAGAACCTGTGAACGTGACCTCATTTAGTTAAGGGGACTCGACAGACGTCACCGTCACGGATCTTCAGGTGATCGTCCAGGTGGGCCCTAAAGCCCACGACAAGGGTCCTCGTAAGGAGAGACACAGCCAAGACGTACGAGGCTACGTGAGGCCGGGCACAGACTGGAAGGGTGCGGCCACGAGCCAAGGGACACCTGGGGCCACCAGACCCTGGAGGAGGCAGGAGGACTGTCCTGTGCCCCAGAGGCTGCAGGGGACACGGCCCTGCTGCCACGACTTCAGACCTCTGGTCCAGCACGGGCTGCGAGCTGCAGCACACCGCCGTCTGGGCTCCTGGAACCCACCTTGGTCCATGCGGCCGACGGTGGTATACTGGGCGGCTAGGTCAGCTCGGGCTGCGGGAGTGTCGGGGACGAAGTAGGGCACCTGGGGGAGCAGGTGAGGGCAAAGCCAGGGTTAGAGCACGGAGGCCGGGGAAGGGGTGGCCAGCCCTTGAACGGCGGTAGATGAGGGCCAGCCCCCCTCCCAGGGCCCGAAATCCTGCTCCACGGTGAACGGTGGGGCCCAGAACGTCCCTGCTTCTAGACACGTTAACACTTGTTTGCCGGCCGCGCAGACGGGAACCGGGTCCAGTCTCTTGTTAAACGTGCTAAAGTCACATACCCGGGGGCCCAGGCTGCCAAGCCCCCTCCCCCCCCCCCCCGATTTACGAGGCAGAAGAAGAAGGGTAAGCGAGCGTCTTGGAGACACGGCGGGGGGCTGTCCTACCACCACGTCCTGTGGGTCGTAGGCCTGGGGGGTCCAGTCTGGGATCCGCCCCATGCCGCTGTCCCCGTTGCCAAACTTCTCACAGAAGGTCCCGTACTGGGGCTGGGAGTGCCCACAGCGGTGGGGGTCGTGGAAGGCGACATACAGGAAGAAGGGCCTGCCCGGGGGGGGGGGGGCGGGGCTTGAGTCTTGAGGTCAGCTGGTTGACATGCCACCTGGCTTTCTACTCTGCGGAGCCCCATTCTTTAGGCGGGAACACCCCTCGGGACCGTCCCCTCCTCTGTAACTGAAAACGTCCCCTCTCCTCTCCCTCTGACCAGACTGACTTGAGTATCTGGAACTTTCTCCCCCTCCCCCGCTCCTCCACCTGGGGTCTCCAAGAATCCCAACTAAAGACTCTGGGATGTGCACCTGGCCGAGGGGGTGGGTGGTAAGGGGTTGGGGGCCTCCGCGCACCTGTCATCCTGAGTCTGCAGGAACTTCCGGACGAGCAGCTTAATTCTGGTGATGTTGCGTCCTACCTGGAGGACAGAGCCGTTCTCCTCCGTGTAGGCGAAGTCAAACGGGTACACCGGCTCGGGCCCCACGTGCTTCTTCCCAATGATGCCTGGAGGTGGGGACACGGGCCTTCCAGAGCCCCTGAGGTATCCCGCCCCACTCCGCTCCCTTCTTCACCCCTCCCCCCCCCAAGCCCTGCCCTGGTGTGGCCTCTAGGGGGTCAGCCCGGGCCCTTGTCCTCACGGAGCCAGGGCTCAGGGGAAAGGCCGAGGACCTCGGGTGTTCAGAGCAGGCGACACGGGGCTCGCCCCGAGGGGGCCTGTCCGGTCCCCGTTGTGGCAGGAAGCCGCTCACCTGTGCGGATGCCGGCCTGGCCGAGCAGCCGCGGCAGACTCTGCACCTTGTCGAAGGAGTTGAAGTGGTGGACGTCCTGATGCAAGCCGTACATCCCGTTCTGATGCTGTGGCAGAGACGCGCGTGATGCGGGGCCCCACCTGCCCCGGCTCTCCCCGTGGCTCGTCGCCGGGCCCTCCAGGGGCCCCCTTTCGGCTCGGGCGGCCGGCACCCAGGGAGAGTTCCACGGCCTCTCCGTCTGGCCCCTACCGTAGGACATCAGCAGGGGAAACAGCACGCCGGAGATGTGCCCCAAGGGGTGGCTTTTATTTCCTTCTTTTTTGTCTACCCGGGTTTTCCAGCTTTTTTGTTGCGAGCACATGCCACGGCGGCAAACCACTGTTAACTGGATTTTTTTTAAGCTTATTTAGAGAGAGAGAGAGCACGAGTAGGAGAAGCACAGAGAGAAGGAGGGGGGGGGATCACAAGCAGACTCTGTGCCGTCAGTGTGGAGCCTGATGTGGGGCTCGAATCCACGAACCGTGAGATCATGACCTGAGCCAAAGGTGGACGCTTAACCCACTGAGCCACCCAGGCGCCCCGATTAACTGGATTTACAAACTGAGACTGGAAAGACGTAAGACAAGCTGGAACAGTGCTCTCCTCATTCCTACGGCCCGGACGGGAGTGCAGCTCACAGCTGCCTGATTAACCTTCCAGGAGGCGTCTGGGTAGTGGCCACACATGGGCCGCCTACACATGGCCTTGGTCTCTCCAATGGGGACGCACAGAGCACACCGGCTCCCCGGAAGATGGTGTCTCGGGGTAACACATCAGGAGTAAGTACTCGTGCACCCAAGTTCACAGCAGCGTTATTCACGACAGTCAGGAGTAGAAGCAACCTCGGCATCCGTCGGCGGTTGAACAGGTAAGCAAAGTGTGCCAGACCCGCGTGACGGAACCTCACACGGTGTTTTGGCCGCAAGGAAGGACATCCTGACGCCTGCTACGACGTTCCCGCGAGGCCACTACGCTCGGTGACATCAGCCAGTGCCCACAGGGCAAACATTGTAGCAACCGCATGCACTGAGACGAATAGAATAGAAGGTACCAGGGACCGGGAGGGGCGCAGGGAGTCAGCGGGCACAGAGCTTCGGTTTGGGAACACGATTAAGTTCCGGGGGTAGACAGCAGGAACGCCGCGCGATAACGTGAGCGTATCTGATGTCGCTCAGTCACGCACTTAAAAAAAAAAGTGACTGCACCGAGGGCGCCTGGGTGGCTCAGTCAGTTAAGTTCCTGACTTTGGCTCAGGTCACGCTCTCCCGGTTCAGGAGTTCGAGCCCCGCGTTGGGCGCTGCACTGTCAGCATAGAGCCCGCTATGTCTCCTTCCCTCTCTCTCTGCCCCTCCCCCACAGCCTTGCATGGGGGTGCTCTCAAAAATAAATGAAAAAGCATTTAAAAAATATTTTAAAAAAGAATCAAAATGGTAAGTTTTGCACTACACATATTCTAGCACACACAATACAGAGTAAACGTTTACGTGGTAGCTCCTACCATCACTCAAGCTCCCGGGATAACAGTGTGACCGGAGTTAACCCCGGACAACCGCATGCCAGGCACCTGGCTATGTGCTTTCCATATAAAGTATGAGCTTGGCCAATCCCGTAAGAATCCCAGGAACGAGGTGTTCTCAAGACCCCATTTCACAGGTAAGAAGACTGAGGTTCGCGAGTACGTGATTTGGTCACGGTCACACAGAGCAGCGGAGAGGGCGCCCTCTAGCCCATACTCGAACCCGCTTGGCTGGGAGTGGGGAGAAGAGGGTGGGCCCATCCCCAGGGGAGGTCAGGGAGGGGCTCTCGGGGTCGGTGTCGAGAGCCCTCCTCCCACACCCCTGCTGCCCTCACCTGGGGCAGGCCAGTGAGCAGACTGGCGCGACTGGGAGAGCAGCTGCTGACGGAGGTGAAGGCATTGCGGAAGACCAGGCTGCGGCGGGCCAGGGCATCCAGGTGAGGGGTGGCGATGGCACTGTTGTTGTAGGTGCCACTCTCGAAGCCCCCGTCGTCCGCTGAGGAAGGCAGAGGCAGAGGCCACGGGGGGCTGGACTCAGGACTGAGGGAGACCCGCAGTCCTGCTGCGGTGGCCTGGGCCCCTGGTGCCCAGGCACGCGTGACACCCAGGCGGCAGGACCCAAGTGGGCATTGTATCTGGGCAGGCGTGCCACCTGAGTGGGAATGCCACCAGGCACGCACAAGAACTGGGCGAGCGGTCAGCAGACAGGCACGAAACTCCGGTGGCCTGATACCGGGTGGGACTGGTACCCAGGCAGGCAGGACACCCCAGACAGAAAACTCAGGTCGAGTGTTAGCGAGTGGGTGTGGCTGGGCAGCCCCGGGGCTCCGCACACCCTGCAGGAGCTGTGGTTTCTGCGCCAGCGTCCCCAGCAGGGAGGAGCGGATGGGAGCCCCCAGAGGAGAGCAGCTGGATGTTACAATCAGCGGAAGGGCGGGTTGGAGACCACAAACTTAATCAGAAAGAGTGAATCTGGCAGAGCCTCAGACCTCAAAAGAGGAAAGAACAGGGTTGTCTTGTGACAGCCCCGCTCTGGTCACCAAGTCTCGTGAAAAGCAGAGCGCTAGAAGAACTTGGGATATCTGGGAGGGGACGGGGTAAGGGGAGAGGGCAGCTGGGTGGCGGGGGGGGGGGGGGCGGGGGGTGCTGCGCTGCTCAGCCAGGAGGAGAGCTGAGCCACAGCGCTCCCGGGTCTGAAAAGGGAAGGGCAAACTTACAGGGTTTCCCCGCTGGGGAGGAGATGAGCCCCCCACCCCCCACCCCGGCCGGCCCCCAGTCGCGTCTCTGGGGACTTGGACCCCAGCTCCTTCCTCTACCGCAACCCCTCTGGGGGCTGTGGACCACCGAGCTCTGGAAGGCCACCCAGCTGTCCGAGCTGGGGGCCCGCAGGGCTGGCCCTGGCTGCTGTGGGCACGCGTCGCGGTGCAGGGTCAGGGCCAGCGGCAGGAGTGGGGCGCTGGACGCCGGCCCGACCCCTGCGGAGCCCACGGTGGGCGAGGCCGCCCCTGCCTCCCTCTCCGAGGAGCCGAGCGCGAAGAGTCTGGGGCAGCAGAGAGGGCACACGGGGAGGGCTGCGGGGCTCGCTGGCGAGGGACGCGGGGTCGCACTCACCGAGGATCAGCAGCACGTTCCGGGGGCGCGCCCCGGGCACGCGGCAGAGCCCCAGGGCCAGCAGCAGCACCCAGCAGGCCGGCCCCCGACGGCGCATGGCGGCGGCTCCCGGCCCGCCGCCCCGCCCCCGGTCACGTGGCACAGACCCCGCCCCGGAGGTCACGTGCGCGCCAGGCCCCGCCCCCTCCATCTCTCCCTCTGCGGTTCCCGCAGACCCGGGCTGCGGCGACGTCCGGAGACCCCGAGCCGCGGCGCCCGGTGGGTCTGTGGCGGGCGGGGAGCGGGGCCCGGGCGGGGTGGGCGAGCTGCGGGGGACGGGCTGGGGTCGCTGGGGGAGGCTCGGGGCCCGAGGGTGCGGGCTCCTCTCGCGGGGACCCTTCCCCACCGCGTCCCCACCAGGTCCCCGCCGCCCTCGGCCTTGCTGGAACGGTCAGCAGGCGTGGGGTGCCCACCCTAAGACCCAACGTCCGGGGCAGGCGGCTTCGAGGGTGGGAGGCGGGGTGCGCTGGGGTCCGGGGGTGAGGGGTGGTCCGAGGCCGGCTCTGCGCGCGGAGGGGGGAGGGGGGGGAGGTGCCAGGTCCCTAGAGGATGCTGCGCACCCGGAATTAATGGAGGGGCCTCGAACGTTCCCCAGAGCCCACTAGAGTCCCTGGAGCTCCTGTAGGGATGCGAATGCCACAGGTGGGGGGTGGGGTGAGGCGCGGCCTCAGGATGCGAGACCCCCACCGCCCGCGCCGCAGTCAGCCGTAGTGGGTGGAGTTCGCCCGCGCTGCGCACTTGGAAAGCCTCGGGGCCCTGGAGGCTGCAGGTCCCCCACCCACGCGCCGCCTGCCAGACGAGGGAGCCCCCGTGGACCCCGCTAGTCCTCGCGCTGCTGCCTTTAAATTCCTTGGCGAGGGAAAAAGAAGAAACAGATTATCCCGGGAGCAGAGACGTGGGCTCTAATTCGCGTTTAGGTCCCTCACCGAGAAACCGTTCATCCCGTTCTTTCTGTCGAGGGGCCTTGGAAAGAAAGCAGCTGGCGTTTGGGCAGGTGGGATTCAGGGAGGGTAGCGAGCAGGGGACTGGATGGGGGACTGCATCTTTTGTCGAGGCCTCCTCTGCGCTGGTTGTTGGGTTCCTTCGAGGCCAGCAAAGGGCAAATTTAATCCATCTGGTTCAGGTCTCCTGGGGGGAGGCCCGTGTGCCCCTCCTGATGCCCTGGACCCTGCCCTGTTGCTGGATTCTCCCAAGCCTAGACCCTGACTGCTGCTGTGTCATCCCCATGCCCACCCCAGGCATGCCCTCTCCTGTGAAGGCGTTGGGGCAGGCCAGGCCCTCGGGTGCCAGTATGGCCCCACAGGCCCGCTGCTGCTCCCCTGCGGCCCTGCAGAGGCGGCTGCCCATCCTGGCCTGGCTGCCGGACTATTCGGTGTCATGGCTGAAGATGGACGCCATCGCCGGACTCTCCGTCGGGCTCACGGTCATCCCGCAGGCGCTGGCCTACGCCGAGGTGGCTGCCCTCCCGCCCCAGGTGAGACGTCTGCCCCTGCTGCCGCCCCACTCCAGCCTCAGCACCGTCCCGGGAGCCGAGCAGAAATGCGTAGTGTCCCCTCCAGACAGGCAGGGCACCAGAACCCCGGCCCCGTGGGGCCCCCAGAAGGCTTGGCGTGCAGTCCGCAGCATGTGACCGCCTTGGGGCAGACACACGCCCCTGTAACCGCTCTCACACGCAGGCACTGGACCAGTAGTGCTGGGTTGCCTGAGGGGCCCGGCAGCATGACTCACGAGAACGTTTTCTTAGACTCCTAGACTGAGATAAGGGCTCAGGCCTTTGTACTCCTGTGGGCACCCCGCTGGGAAGCAGGTGGAAAAGAGGCCCCCGGTCACTGTAGGTCCCCAACCGTGGCTAACGGCGTGAGTGCTTTACCCCGCCTGTGCACCGGGGTCCCCGCAGGACACGACAGCCACCCGCAACAGATCCTGCGCTTAGACGCCTGCCCACGGGACACCGTGGGCATGCTGTGTGCCTCCTTGATGCTCAGTGCTGTCTCCCCACCAGTACGGCCTCTACTCTGCCTTCATGGGATGCTTCGTGTATTTCTTCCTGGGCACCTCCCGGGACGTGACCCTGGGCCCGACGGCCATCATGTCCCTCCTGGTCTCCTTCTACACTTTCCATGAGCCTGCCTACGCCGTGCTGCTGGCCTTTCTGTCTGGCTGCATCCAGTTAGCCATGGGCTTCCTGCGCTTGGGTAAGACTCTCGGGCCTTCCTGTCACGGGATACCCAGGCCCCTGCGTCCCGGGGATGCCCTGGCCCTCAGCCAAAATTTCCTTCTTTGCGTCCCAAGGGCTCTTCGTGTGTGTGTGTGTGTGTGTGTGTGTGTGTGTGTGTGTGTGTGAGAGAGAGAGAGAGAGAGTGAGGGGGGCCCTCTCAGCCCTCTACTATTCTACTTGGAGAAGGGCTCCGGGTCCCAGACCCTAGCCTCCCTTCTCCACTGTCCAAACTAGTCCAGACGGGGCATGTGGTCCTTGGCCTTGTTCCACCCGGACCGCCTGTCCCAGCCCACATCTAGCCACGTCCTCTGGGATTGGGCAGAGCTGGGACCAGCTTAGTGTTCTCTCTCGGCTGGCCAGGCTTCTTGCTGGACTTCATCTCCTGCCCTGTCATCAAAGGTTTCACGTCTGCTGCCGCCGTCACCATTGGCTTCGGGCAGATCAAGGTAGGTGCACTAGCTGGCTCCCAGGCACCTCGTGGGTAGTGGGACAGGGGCTGGGGTCGATATGTGCGGGCCAGTTGATGGCTTGCTGTTCTGGAGCTCAGAGCACAGGTGCTCCAGCGCATCTCCATCGGTCCCATGAGCCCCTGAGGAAGATGCTGAGTGACGGTTGGACCGTGCAGGAGGTAATGTGGGCGACTGGTAACGACAGTCTAGAGTTTTCTTTTTCTAAATTTCTGTTGATCGTTTTTCTTTGATTTTATTTTTAAAAATTTATTTGGACGCACGCGTATACATTTTTAAAGTTTGTTTTTGAGGGAGCGAGAGAGGAAGAGAATGAGTAGGGGAGGGACAGAGAGAGGAAGAGAGAGGGTCCCAAGCAGGATGCTAAGCAGGCTCCGAGCTGTCCTGCGTAGAGCCTGAAGCAGGGATCAAACTCACAAACTGAGATCATGATCTGAGCCAAGATAAAGAGTCAGATGTCGGTTGACCAAGCCACCCAGGCACCTCTGTATACTTTTTTTTGGGAGAGAGAAAGGGAGAGTGCGTGTGCACCCCCGCACGTTGGGGCTGGGGAGGAGCAGAGGGAGAGGGAGGGACAGAATCCCAAGCAGGCTCCACGCTCAATGCGCGAGCCTGATGTGAGGCTAACCCCAAGACCCTGGGATCACGACCTGAGCTGAAATCAAGAGTCGGACACTCAGCCGACTGAGCCTCCCAGGCGCCCGTTTGGTGCTTTTCAGATGCCATGCTCCTTTGTAATTCTGTGAAACACAACCGTAAGAAGCACCAGAACCAATCACCATCCATTATTTGAGGACTTTATTTTGCTGCCCTTTCACTGGGTTTTCAGTTCCCGAAGGGCGTGTTTTCTTTAGGACTGCGGTCGCCTGGCCCTGAGCTTTGTAAAAAGGAAGTGAGTGCTCAGTGGGGCTTCGGAGTAGAACTGAGCCAGGGTGTGGGAATGAAGGGGGGGGGCCCCCCCCCCCCCGCCTGTGTGTCACCTCTCGGCCGGCCTCTCCGAGGCGTGGATCCCACGGCCAGGCTCTGCTCCCGGCTGGCCCAGTGCGTCTCCCTGATGGTGGTGGAGCGGGAGAGTCCGGGACGCGAGGGCGTATGAGCCAGAGCTGACCCTGTTTGTGCTCTTGCTACGTGCCAGACGCTGGGCCAAACCCTCCCTCGTGTTGGATTCTCAGGCTGCTCCTGGGAGGCAGGTCTGTGGTTATCTGCACCAGAGAGGAGACGCTGCTCAGGAAGGTGTGGGTGGGCACAGTTTATGTATTCTGTGCACACGTGTGTCAGGGTGAGCTCGGCAAGTGCTGCTCCTTGGGACAGCGTGTCCTTTATTCTGGAAACACTGTTCTCTCTCAGCATCAGGATTGTTCTTTTACGGGACTGTAATACAGAGGGGGCAGCCTTTTTTTTTTTTTTTTTTAATAGTTTATTTATTCTAAGAGAGGGAGGGATTCTCAAGTAGGCTCTGAGCTGTCCGCATGGAGCCCAATGTGGGGCTTGAATTCACGAACCGTGAGGTCGTGACCTAAGCCGAAGTCGGACGCTGAACTGACTGAGCCCTCCAGGCTCCCCTATAGAGGACCGCTTCTTAATGCACTCTTACTTGGCAATCCCAGGTCCCCCAAATCTTTAACGCCTTGACCAGGTTACGACAGCCATTTGAGAGCCCTAAGCTGGGCGCGGGGGGAGGGTCAGGAGGGGGGGTCCTCCTGACCTGCCCTGGCTGGGAGCTCCTTGGGCCCCAGAATCCATGTGTCTCCACCCCAGTGTCTGTCCCATCTGGGGCTGTGTGCAGGTTTGGGGATCCTTGCGGCCTGACCATCCTGGGGGTCGGGGCATCAACCTTCTCGCTAATGTTCGCCACCTGGTCTCAAGTGGAGAAAGAACTAAAATGCGGGGTAGACCCCTTCTCCCCCCCGAGGACCCTGCCCTCCTGGGTCCCCCAGCATCCTTCCCAGGAGCCCTTCGGAGCCCCCAGCGGCTCTGCCTTTGGCTCCACCTGGCTGCACTTCTGCCAGGAGGTGGGCCTGGCTGGTGGGCCTCCGGGTGAGGGTTGTGGCCTCCGGCCAGTGGCAGGGGGTAGGGAGGGGGCGCTCGGTGTGAGGGACAGGACGGAGCCAAGGGCAGTGGGGCCTGCAGGGCGGGGTGGGGTGGGCCGGCAGCGACCCCAGACCCTTGACCAGGGCGCACGAAGAGGTCGCCCTGCTTTGAGATCACCCGGACTGGTTTTCCTCACAAGGGAGAATTATTCACCAAGACGTGTCCTTGGTCTCTTTTGCCCAAGGATCACGATCCCCTGCCCCTGGGGGTGTTGGGAATGGGCAGAGGGTCCCCAGAGAGCCTTGGGATGTGCCCCCAGCAAGGGCCCTTGGACTCTGGGTTTACAATGTACTGAGATGCTGCAGGGGAGGGCTTCAGGCCTCACTTTGAGAAGGTTGTCTGATCTGAATTTCCGTTTGAACAGAACCTCCTGGGACTGCAGGGTATCCCCAGACAGTTTTTCCTGCAAGTGTATCACACCTTCCGCAACATCGGAGAGACCAGGTACCTCATGGCCGTGTGGTCCTGTCCGTGTAGGGAAGCCCTTCCTCCCGGAACCCCTCTCCCAGGCCCCACCCCCGGGGGGAACTTATTCCCGACCTCTGGGGCCTGTCCCTTCAAACAGGTCCCAGAGCAGCACCAGCGTCACAGGGGAGCTGGTTAGGAATGCAGACTCGCGGCCATGCGCGGACCTGCTCAAGCAGCCAGCGTTCAGCGGGGGCCCCGGGGGGTCAGTTTGTGCACTGCACTTTGAGAAGCTCTGTGCGGGACGACCTGAGAGCCGGTCCCGTCCCGTGGCCCTGCACAGAGCCTTGGGTGGTAGGAGTGGGAGGGCCCCCCACAGAGGAAGGGCAGCGGTCTGTCCAGAGGTTTGTGATTCAGTGAGGAGAACGCAGGCCACGGGGCAGGCAGGCAATGTGGATGTGCCCGAGGGATGGGCGGCAGGCAGCGGGTCATGGGGCTTCTTCAGTCGAAGGGCCTCCCCCAGAGAGCAGCCAGGGTAACGAGACCGATAGGAGAGGATCCCAGATGAGCCGAGAGTCTGGACGTGTCCCTGGCCGGAGGAGCAGTGACCTGGGGGTAGCTGCCCGGTGGGGCCAGTGCTGAGGCCTGGAGGGAGAGGGGGAGACCTGTGACCGACTGTCCTCTCTCCCCTTCGTCTGCAGTGAGGTTCCTCGGGGCTGAACCCACTGGAAGCCAGGGGCTCCCTGGCCCGGGTCATGCAGCCTGTGGGGGTCATCCTCCTGGGGGGGGGGAGGGGGGCAGGAGAATTGGAGACTGACCGGTCAGAGAGCATAAGAGGCAGTCAGGTCTCCCTAGGCAGTTCTTCCTGCAGGTGAACTTCCTGGAACAGTCAGGCGTCTGCAGCCCACAGAGCTACGTGACTCAAAACGTGAGCTAGTGGCCCCAGTGCCACTGGGATTCGGGCCTCGGCTCCCAGGCCTGCGCTGGCCTGCGTGGTCACTGAACAAAATGTCGAAATAGAGCAGGGAAGCACGTTGCTTAGCAGACAGCGAGAAGAGCGACCGAGAGAGGCGGCTTTCCCGCGGAAGGGGCAACCGAGGGGCAGAGGTGTGTGCCCTGGGCCGGCCTGGGCGTGACCGGTGTCTGTCCGCAGGGTGGGCGATGCCGTGCTGGGGCTGGTCTGCATGGTGCTGCTGTTGGTGCTGAAGCTGATGCGGAACCACGTGCCCCCCGTCCACCCTGAGATGCCCCCCGGCGTGCGGCTCAGCCACGCGCTGGTCTGGACGGCCACAACAGGTGAGGGGTGTTCTGGCCGAGGAAGTTGTGCAGCCGTCCTGCACACCCAGGGTGAGGGGTGCCCCGTGTGGCCCCCCCCCCCCCCCCCAGCCCCGGAGTCCCACCCCGAGGGATTCTCCTGTCTCTGGTCTGGATGCGACTTGAGAGCTGGCTGCATGATGGGGCTCACGTTCCGGGAAGAGGTGTCACCCCCACTTAAGCAGCCAGCACAGCCCAGGCAAGACGCGAGGGGTGGGACGCAAGGTGAGCCAGTAGGTGACGCGTGTGGGCCCTGCACGTCGCCATACGCCTGTCCTGCCCTCTTGGTTTGCCGTGGCATCACGTGTTCACGCCCTCCCCACAGTCACTCGAGTCCGTGCTGTTTCCCAGGCGGGAGCGTCAGGGGCCGTGGCTGGGGTAGGGTGTATTCACCCCAGTCACCCAGAGGAGCCGGGTTCACCAACGGTTCTCGCTCTGTCCTAGCTCGCAACGCGCTGGTGGTCTCCTTTGCCGCCCTGGTCGCGTACTCCTTCGAGGTGACTGGATACCAGCCTTTTGTTCTAACCGGACAGACGGCCGAGGGGCTCCCTCCTGTCCGCCTTCCGCCCTTCTCGGTGACCACGGCCAACGGAACAGTTTCCTTCACCGAGATGGTACAGGTGGGTAGAGGCGGGGAGCCAGGCCTCTGGGCTGAGCTGCGGCAGCCTCTGGCCTGGTTCTGTCTGCGCCCTGATGCATCCGCCTCGTGACAAGGAGCTCTGAGCCCCGTTGGGACCCCTGAGTCCTCAGGGCGGAGCACCTCTGGGTGCAGGGACGGGCACGAAAGAGTTCCAGATGGGGCACGACCTCAAAGGACACCACCTTTATTTTCCTGCCCTGAGCCCAGAGGAGCGTCTCGCGTCACAGGCGCTGGCAAAACAGGGGTTCGCTCCGTGTCCTGCTCCGTGCACGTGCCACACGGAGTTGCCTCCTTGCGCGTGTGAGCTCACGGCCCCGCAGCCGAAGGACGGGTCACTGCCTGCTCAGACCCCTGCTCTCCTTCCTCAGAGGGTCACTCACTGTCCCTGTCTCCTCCCTCAGGACATGGGGGCTGGGCTGGCCGTGGTGCCCCTGATGGGTCTCCTGGAGAGCATCGCGGTGGCCAAGTCCTTTGGTAAGGTGCCCGCCATCCACGCCTACCTGGTGCTGTCCGGGAGCCTGACTTGCTTGCCTGCTCTTTTGTTTTCTGTTCTCTGCTTTGATTTTTCACAGCTTGTGTTTTTATCCAAGTAGTACATGTTCGTCTTTAAACAAAAATTTGTGGTGAAAGTGGATTTACAATGAAAAACCTCACCCAGGGGTGGCTGCTAACGTCTGGGAGCCTGCTCTCCAGAAAAAGAAGGGCTTGCATTTCCCCTTTGCGTTTTCTTTGACGGAAACGTTCCCTCCACCTACGTGGCTCCCAGCAGAACGGAGTTTGAAGTTCCCATCCTGGGATGAGATTGCGGCAGCCACGCCCCCAGGCGATGGCCACGCCCCCAGGCGGTAGCCACACCCCCACGTGCACCTGCTTTGAAATGAGCTCGTCTTAGGAAAACGTCTGTAGGCAAAGGAGGAGTTTTTGTTTGTTTTTTTTTAGGAGGAGTTTTAAGTATATTTTTATTTTTAATATAATTTGATGGGAAGTTTTCACAGATAGTAACGGCTATGTTTGGTGACAGGTTCCCAAAATTCCTAAAAGTTTAACAACGTCAGGTGCCTGGGTGGCTCAGTCGGTTGAGTGCCTGACTCTTGATTCCCGCTCAGGTCATGATCTCACGGTCGTGGGATCGGGCCCTGTGTTGGGTTCCTCACTCAGCATGAAGCCTGCTTAAGATTCTCTTTTTCTCTCTTCCTCCTCTCCCTCTGCCCCTCTCCCTGCTCAGGCTCCCTGGCTCTCTAAAAAAGTAAATAAATAAAAACCACTTATAGAAAAAATGTTAACAATGTGCTCCTTCAGTCGGCTGAGCACACCTGGCCGGTCCCCTCCTTGCCCCCAGGGAGGCCCGGAGACCTTAATCTGCTTAAATATCTATTGCCCCCATTCCTCCCTCTGGGCTGAGGCTGCTCCATCCTTCTCCTGTCCCCTCCCTTTGGTCTGCTGGACGTCCAGCTTTGTGTTGTCTGTGTGGGTGGCATTTTCATTTCGTTTTATGACAGGCTCTCACCCTGGGGTTTAGGCGGACCCTAAAGATGAAACCCAGGAAAGGTGCCCGTGTCGCTCTGTCTCCATAGATCGGCTCTGGTTACGCCAGGATTTCGTTTCCTCGTGCGAACTGCCAGCAGCCTGACCCTTCTTTCCTTCCGAAGAGAGTCTCGAACACTCTCTTCCAAATGCCAGTGGCTGCTCGAGGTCATGTTCCGATCAAATCTTTCTTGTACAGCTCTTCTGTACAAGATTATCTTTCTGGCAAGGGAGATTTGGGGGCATTTTGGAGTCTACATCTTAAAGAGTTTATGCCTCTCGCCTCACTTTAAAACTTTGTTTTCTGGGGCGCCTGGGTGGCGCAGTCGGTGAAGCGTCCGACTTCAGCCAGGTCACGATCTCGCGCTCCGCGAGTTCGAGCCCCGCGTCAGGCTCTGGGCTGATGGCTCGGAGCCTGGAGCCTGTTTCCGATTCTGTGTCTCCCTCTCTCTGCCCCTCCCCCGTTCATGCTCTGTCTCTCTCTGTCCCAAAAATAAATAAACGTTGAAAAAAAAAATTAAAAAAAAAAAATAAATAAAACTTTGTTTTCTGGGGCGCCTGGGTGGCTCAGTCGGTTAAGCGTCCGACTTCGGCTCAGGTCAGGATCTCAGGGCTCTTGAGTTGGAGCCCCCGCGTCGGGCTCTGTGCCGACAGCTCAGAGCCGGAAACCTGCTTCGGATTCTGTGTCTCCCTCTCTCTCTGCCCCTCCCCTGCTCGGGCTCTTCCTGTTTTCCTTTGAAGTCAGTCGCTTTCCTGTCCTAACTTGTAAGCTTGTCATCCTCTGAATCGGGGGCTTGGAGAACCCGTGCCGCTGCCCATGGCCTGAGAGTGGCTGTTACATTTTTAAGCGTTTGAAAAAAATTTCTAAACACGTTTAGGATTTCCTGACACACGAAAAGCACGTGAAGTTCACGATCTCAGTACTCGTGTGGCAGAAAGGTGTTACTGGAACGCGGTCCTGCTCACGTGATCGCGGTTTCCACGGCTGCTACTTCCGGCTGTGACACGCACGGAGTCGTCGTGACAGAGTGTGGCCGGCAGAGCCTAAAATGTTCCCAGCTGGCCCTTCACAGAAACGCGTGCCAGCCGCTGCCTGGGATTCACGGCCGCCGCGTGTTCCCCCCACCCCCACCCCGTGCCTGCCGGCCCGTCTGTCTGAATGGCCTCGTCCGTGCCTTCCGGGTCCTCCCCACTCGTGATCAGACAGGTTTTCGTTTCAGACTTCGCCCTTCTCGTGAGAGCAGCACACATTGTCGTTGTAGGGCACGCGGGAGGTGCACACGCGTACAAAGAAGCCGCTCTCGCCCCCGCAGTTGGCCACTGTTCACGTTTTCCCGTCCATCTTTCTGCCCTTTCTTGGGAGACACGCATACACGCTTGAGCGTATTTGTTCGCGTACATGCATGTGTTTTTTTGCATGTTTACACGCTTACGTTTATATCACGTAGACGTTGCCGTGGGTGGAAGTTGATAATCTGTTTTTTGTCTGACGGACGTTTTCTCAGTGAGGCCGTGCGTCTAGTGACTTTTTATCCTCTCTCCGTAGCGTCTCAGAATAATTACCACGTTGACGCCAACCAGGAGCTGCTGGCCATCGGTAAGACCCCAGCGGTGGTCTCACTCGGGCTGCTCAGACCGTGGTGATGCGCGTGGCGAGGTACAAGGAGCAGAGGTGGCCGCGAGTCAGGCCCGTCCCCAGATGGTCCCGTGCATACTCACGTGGCATAGGCGGCTGACCTCTGGTGTCGCTGTGACTGGAGCTTATTGAGCACTTGCTGTATACCAGACCCTGAGGTCTGTAGCTCTGCTCCGGGTCAAGGAATGCCAGGAATGTTCCACGTTGGGGTGAGATCGCTGAGGAACGTGGGCTCCGGGTGAGCCTGCTGATGTCCGGGACCCCGTCTGTCCTCGCCCCCTCCCCGTGACCCCCCTGCAGGCTGGGCAGGCAGGTCAGCGAAGACTCGGGTAGGCCCCGCTATTGGGTGGGTCTATGCCAGGTGTCCTGGCTTTTTGTTTAGTTTCCACAAATCTGGCCTCTCTGGGGATTCTTTTTTTTTTTTTTTTTTTTTAACGTTTATTTATTTTTGAGACAGAAAGAGACAGAGCATGAACGGGGGAGGGGCAGAGAGAGAGGGAGACACAGAATCGGAAACAGGCTCCAGGCTCTGAGCCATCAGCCCAGAGCCTGACGCGGGGCTCGAACTCACGGACCGCGAGATCGTGACCTGGCTGAAGTCGGACGCTCAACCGACTGCGCCACCCAGGCGCCCCTGGGGATTCATTTTGAGGGCACGACCCGCATCTTAAATTGAGTTCTCACGACTGTTTTTCATTTGTGGACACCAGGCTCTTCTGCCTTTGCTTCCTGCCGCTTGTGAGGTAGGCAGGGGTCTGACCTGGCGGCGCCAGTAGGTGTCTTCCCCAGGGAGTCCACAGGAGCCCCCCACCCCTGCCCCCCGCCCTGCTGCTTCCCTGCATGGCGGCGTTTTGGGCTCGAGCCACTGAGTTTCCTGACAGCACAGGGCATGGGGCCCCAGGATGGGTCACAGAGACTTTGGGGGGCTCCACTCTGAGCTCGTGGCGGACGGGTGCCGCAGAACGCCCACACCACGCGGTCAGGTCTCTGACCGGAGTCTCGGGCCATAGCGAAGAGTCAGGATGACCGTGTGTGGTCAGCACACGGCCTCTGCTACCTCCAGCGATGTGTGGCCCTGCTCTCGGGGCACGTGCTGGGCTGTGGGACCCAGGAGCGGGCCCCACCCTGAGCTGTCTCAAGAGCGGGTACCTGAACCTGTGAGCCCATTGTGGCGTTATGGACCGTGCAGGACTGTGGTCTTTGGGAAGGCCCTGGGCGAGCCACATGCTGGCCGGGCCGCCCGTGATAAACGTGGGCTAATTAGTTATCTCCGTTCATAGGTCCCGGCCAGGGTCTCAGGTGTGGGTGAGTCAGTGTCACGGGAGTGGGGCACTTACTAGCCGTGACCTTGTGTACTAGCTGGTCGTCTCACGAAAGGAGTGTGGGTTTGAAGAAGGAGAGAGATAGCTGACCTCCGGGCTGGTGGGCCTTCTGGGCCCTGTTACACATGGAAAAAGGCATGTTTAGTTCACCGGGGCAAGGCTGCGGCCAGAGTTACCTTAAAGTTAGGGTCAACCCCAGTGAACTCGGCAAAGATCACGATTTGTGTTTCCTTCCCTATGACAGACGCCTGGACGCTCATAGCACACCCCTGGGTGATTCCTCCCACTTCCCTCTTCCTGTTTCCTTCCTGGTCTCCGGCCTCTGTTTCATCATCATGTCCCATGTGTTTGTATCGTTTTATGTCCCGCTCCCCCCGGATAAACCTCTTGCTTCCGTTTCCTCCCCAGGCCTGACCAACGTGCTGGGCTCCCTCGTCTCCTCCTACCCGGTCACAGGCAGCTTTGGGCGGTGAGTGACCACGTCCTTCTCTGTGCCTTGGGCGGGGGGAGGTCCCAGCCCAGGCCAGAGGGTCCACATGCAGCTCGAAGAGCCTGCCGGGCTCCTGCCCACATCTCGATGCCCCTCTGTTCTCCTCCGGGGCAGAAGTCTGCCTGTGGTGGCCGCACCCCTCCATCAGCAGCATCCGTGGGAGGCAATACCTGGGCTCACTCTGCTGCCCTTCACCATCTCACCTGTTTTCTCTTGCCGCCTGTGCCGCGGTTTACTCCTAACGCGTCCCCAGCACGCGGCAGGGCTCCCCGCATCTCCTGGCGGAGCGTATTCCGGAAGGGGACGGGAAGCATCGTGCTCCGTCTGGAGAAACGGGTGTGGGTTACGCACAGCCTCCACACATGCTGGCACCAACCCCCGCCTCCCCGGAAGGCCAGAGGGCAGGGCAGAGAGTGACCTTGCTGGGGGGGGAGAAGTGGGGGCATTGGCCAGCAGCACCTGCGTCCCCAGAACCGCTGGCCCGACCCCGTCTGAGTACTAGACCTCCGCAACACCCCCAAACCCCCGCGTCCGAGGGGCCGCAGGGCCCACTCCGTGTCCTCGCCTGCAAATAGGAATCACAACGGGCCCGCATCAGAGTTACCGGAGGTTGAACGAGAGCGCGTAGAACGAAGCCAGCAGCCTGCGGGCACTGGGCTGGTTTGTGAAATAAACCCTCCGTGTGTCCTCAGTCTAACCTTCCACCAGCTCTTGTACTGTGACCTGCCATCAAGGTCGCAGGTTTTGTGCCCCCGTCTGGTGCAGTACCTTGCGTATAACGGGTACCAGAAAAATCAGTGAGTGTTTGAGGAATGAAGTTTCTGCCCGGCTCTGGAAAAGCGGAAGACGACTTAGGCTCTCTGTGGACACGTGCAGACGGACTGGCATATCCACAGGGCATGCAGGCGGGCACAGGTCACCGTCAGGGTGATCGGGAGCCGAACCCGGGTTCTCCCTTTGTGGTGCTCGCGGTGGCAGAGGAAGATGTGGGCCGGGGTCGAGTTCTTGGGCAGAGAAGTCTCTTCCTGGGTTGCGGGACCGGATGCGGTTTTCCAAACGGGCGACGGGGAAAAGGGAAGTCGAACACAGCCAAGTTGACTTCCGGTCCCCCCTGGGAGGAGCCTCACCGTCAGCCCGTGGCGGTTCTCTCTCCAGGCCTTTCTGTCCATGTGTGCGCGTGCATGTGGGAGACGAGTGTGTGGTGAGAGGGACGTCCCCCACGCGATAGTGTCAGCGGCATGTCTGCGTATCCGTGAACACAGTGACATTTTTGCTAGCCTGCCGTGACAAAATGCCACAGGCTGGGGACAGGCAGGGTTGGCTGCTCCTCAGTGTCCCCGCTTAGGCGCCAGTGTCCGCGGGGCCCCGACGTCCCCTTCCAGGCGCTCCGGTCCCACGGGCCAGCCTCCCCTGCCGGTCCAGGGCCCCTCAGCCACCAGGGGCGTCTGTGTTTCCTTCCAGGACGGCTGTGAACGCTCAGTCGGGGGTGTGCACCCCAGCAGGGGGCCTGGTGACAGGTGAGCAACCCCCCCCCCCCCAAGCCCGGAGTTCGTGCGGGGTGGGGCTGGTGGTCACCCATGACGCCCTGCGCCCCCACCCCGCAGGAGTGCTGGTGCTGCTGTCGCTGGACTACCTGACCTCGCTGTTCTACTATATCCCCAAGTCCGCCCTGGCCGCCGTCATCATCATGGCCGTGGCTCCGCTGTTCGACGCCGGGATCTTCGGGACGCTCTGGCGCGTGAAGAGTACGTGTGTGCTCGCCGGTCACGCGCACGTATCCTGGATCCTCCCCCCACCGTCTTCCGGGACCCACGGGGCACGGTTGCGGCCGGGGGTTACCGTCGTCCCGGGAGGTGGCCCCGCTGGCCGTGGGTCAGGAGGGCCAAGGGTGCCCCAGACCCGCTCCGTGCAGTGCGGAGCGAGTCTGCAGCCCGCAGGCCCCCCTGCTGCCCTCCCCCCGCCCCTGCTCCCCCTTCTCTCTCCTCCATCCTTCCTCCTCTCCCCCTCCTCGCCTCCCCTCCGTCCTTCCTTCT